CGGCAATCGTGCCAGTCTGGCTGTCTCATGAGAATATGAAGGAAGAGAGGCTCGTATACGCACTATTAGATACTCAATCGGATACCACCTTCATATTGAATTCTACAAAGGATGCCTTAGGACTTCATGGACTGAGGGTCAACCTTCTTCTGTCTACAATGTCGACCAAGAACGAAAGGATTCCAAGTGAGAAGATTAAAGGACTCACAGCTCGAGCCTTTAACAGTGAAAAGGTGATACACCTTCCAGCTGCATACACTAGAGACATAATGCCAGCCAACAGAGAACACATCCCCACTCCTGAAGTAGCTCGCTCTTTCCCACATTTGGTTCCAATTGCTGACCAACTTCTGCCTCTGAAGCACTGTGAAATAGGATTGTTGATCGGCTATGATTGTGGAAGAGCTCTGACTCCTCGAGATGTGATTCCCTCCCAAGACGATGACGGTCCATTTGGAATGAAAACTGACTTGGGATGGAGCATAGTGGGTGTTACAAGTCAAGATGAACAGCACTACAACCCCGATGATCACGTTGGCCACAGTCATCGCTTGACAGCACGTGAAATACCCGCTGAACTAGCTGAAAGAGACATGTCCATCAAGAAGAGAGTAACGTTCACTCACAACGTTACAATCAAGGAAGAGATCAGCCCTTCGTCTGTGCTGAAGCTGATGGAAAGAGATTTCTCAGAGAGCAGAAGTGAGGTACCATTTTCGCAACATGATACAAGATTTATGAGAATCATGTCGGAGAATGTCCATATCACAGATGATGGTCATTACGAGACTCCTCTTCCCTTTAAAGAAGATGTCGTCAACCTTCCCAACAACAGATTCATGGCGGAAAGGAGATTGAGTCATCTAAAGAGAAAGTTTCAAAGAGACTCTGAGTATCATCAGAAATACTCGGAAAAGATGGATGCTCTCTTGGAGAAAGGATATGCTGAAAGTGTACCAGAATATGACAAGCAGAACGGCCAAGCATGGTACATTCCCCATCATGGGGTAGTACAACCCAACAAGTTACGAGTTGTGTTTGATTGCATTGCAGAATTTGGAAAGGAATCTCTCAACAAGCAGCTTCTTTCTGGACCAGATCTGACTAACACACTAGTGGGAGTACTTTGCAGGTTCAGACTGGAACCAATCGCATTTTGTTGCGATATACGTGAGATGTTCTACCAATTCAAGGTGAAGGAAGATCATAGGAAATACCTACGGTATTTGTGGTGGAAGGATGGAGACTTTCTGCAACAGCCCCATGAGCTAAGAATGACTGTCCATTTGTTTGGGGCGACGTCGTCTCCAGGATGCTCAAACTTTTGTTTGAAACAGATTGCCAGCGACCATGCTATTGAATTTGGAGAGGATGTAAAGAACTTTGTACATCATAACTTCTACGTGGACGATGGGCTAATATCTGTTCCTACCAAAGAAGAGGCCAAGAATCTGATCTCGAGAACCAGAGAGATGTGCAAGAAAGGAGGCCTCCACTTGCACAAATTCATCTCAAACACCCAAGAAGTGCTGGAAACAGTTCCGGAAGAGGATAGAGCAAAGGGCACTACCAAGACTAATCTCCTACAGGATAAGCTTCCTTTGCAGAAGGCACTTGGGGTGCAATGGTGTGTGGAATCTGACACGTTCCAATTCAGAGTCACACTCGATGACAGACCTCTAACCAGGCGCGGAATACTGTCAACCGTGATGTCGATCTATGACCCTATGGGATTACTAGCCCCGATTGTCTTACCTGGTAAGCAGATTCTGCAAGAGCTGTGTAAGATGTCTGCTGATTGGGACGACCCCCTGCCAGATCATCTCAGAGAAAGATGGGAGAAATGGACAACTGATCTGCATAATCTTGACTCCCTATCAATACAGAGATGCTACAAACCTGCAGACTTCGGTGAGGTTACGACCATGCAGATGCACCACTTCTCCGATGCTAGTTCCGAGGGATACGGCCAATGCTCATACATGAGAATTAAGAATGGAGAGGGAAGAGTCCACTGTATCCTGGTGATGGCAAAGTCCAGGATTGCCCCGCTCAAGGCAGTAACAATACCCCGTTTGGAACTATCAGCTGCCGTTGTTTCCATTAGGGTGAGCACATTTCTTCAGCGAGAGTTAGCCTTGGAGGACATTGAGCATATCTACTGGACAGACAGCAATGTGGTACTTGGATACATAAACAATGAATCGAAGCGGTTCCATGTGTTCGTAGCAAATAGGATCTGTGAGATCAGACAACACTCAGAATCATCGCAGTGGAAGCACGTTCGAACACAGGACAATCCAGCAGATGGAGCTTCCAGAGGGTTTACCGTTGACCAACTCATCACTTCGAACTGGTTCACTGGCCCAGATTTTCTATGGGAAGAGACGGTTCCTCGCGCTGATGATCAGGAGGAATTCGAGGTTTCACCAGGTGACCCCGAGGTGAAGAAGTCTATGGTGAACGCGACTGTAATGGGTGACTCCAAGTTTGATCTGAGTCGCCTAGACCGATTCCCGACATGGTATAGAGCAAAGAGGGCGATGGCTTATTGTCTGCTGTTCATCACAAGACTGAAACAACGTTGTCAAAGAAAACGTACAAGACAGGCAAATGATGACTCAACTTCCCAAGGCAAAGTCTCGGTGCAGAATCTACAACAGGCAGAAACTGAGATACTGAGACACGTCCAGAGTGAAGCCTTTGGGGAAGAAATAGAAATCCTGAAGTCAATCCAGAGGAAACAGGATCTGAATGACAGGCAGAGAAGACGTCAAATAAAGAAAGAAAGTCGTCTCCATGGACTTGACTCTTTCCTGGATAAAAAGGGAATTCTAAGAGTTGGAGGAAGAATTCGAAGGGGAGACGACTCATATGACAGAAAGCATCCCCTGATTCTCCCACAAAGAAGCCACGTAACGGACCTTGTGATACGTCACTGTCATGAGTTGACTGCTCATCAAGGAAGAGGCATGACATTGAACCAGATAAGAGAGAATGGATTTTGGGTTCTTGGAAGCAGTAATCGAGTGGCCAATTTCATACGAAAATGTGTCATATGCAATAGGCTACGTAGTCCCGCACAATTACAGAAGATGTCTGATCTACCGTCTGACCGTGTGTTACCTGCAGCACCTTTCACTTACTGTGGCATCGACTGCTTTGGCCCATGGGTGATAAAAGAAGGTAGAAAGGAGATGAAGCGATATGGACTCCTCTTCACATGCATGCCTTCGAGAGCCGTGCATATTGAGACACTCAATAGTCTGACTACAGACTCATTCATTCAGGGATATCATCGCTTTGCTGCTCTGAGGGGTCCAATACGTCAACTGAGATGCGACAGGGGAACGAACTTCGTTGGCGCAGAAGCAGAGTTAAGGAAAGCGTGGTCAGAAATGAATCACGAACATGTCAAAGGCACTCTAATGAAAGAAGGATGTGACTACGTACAGTTCACTTTCAACGTCCCCGCGGCAAGCCATATGGGTGGAGTATGGGAGCGCCAAATAAGATCTGCCAGGAGAGTGCTTGAAACTTTGCTGTATCAATCGAGTAGACAACTCAATGATGAATCACTGAGAACACTGCTGTATGAAGCGGCTGCAATTGTCAATAGCAGGCCGCTGACTGTGACTGACCTGAACGACCCAACATATTTGGCTCCTCTTACGCCAAATCATCTCATAACCATGAAGTCGAAAGTCTTACTTCCTCCACCAGGCAATTTTCAGGACGCTGATTTGTACTCCAGAAAGCGTTGGAGGAGGGTACAACATCTGATCAACGAGTTCTGGGATCGTTGGAGAAAGGAGTTTCTCCAGAACTTACAGACACGCCAGAAATGGACTCGGCCCCGACGGGATGCTAAGATTGGGGATATCGTCATCATGAAAGACGAGAACTTGCCACGAAATCAATGGTCCCTAGCAAGGATAAGCGAGGTCTTTCCTTCTACCGATGGACTCATTCGTAAAGTGAAGCTCGTAAAGGGTGACTCCGAACTTGACGACAGCGGTAAGCGTAAAGGACCTGTGAAAGAACTAGAGCGTCCGATACACAAACTGGTTTTGCTGCTTCCGCGTGAAGACCAGGACGGATTCCCGACCAAGGAGCCTTGAATACTGTAAGGTGATTAATATCCCTCACAAATAGGTTTTGATAGATTTAAGTAAATATAGAAGTCTGAACATAAGACTATCCAAAATTCGAATTACCCGCAAAATCTGAAAGTCTAGAATAAGACTAGTCAAATAATTTAATTGAAGTTTTAGAACCAAGAATATCTGTAATTGGTCTGTAACAAAGACTATGCTGGAACTGTAACTACAGACGCACATCAGCTGAAATGAAGTCTAATTGAACTGAGTAAACTCTTGAACTAATTGATCTGATTGAACAACTACAAGAACTCTTTTTGTGGATTGACGACATTTCCGAATGAGCTGTAATGACCTTTATTGCTGTTTGTTTTTTGTTCTCTGTTTGAAAAAATGTAATCTAATCAAATTGGAAGATCGAGCATATGACAACTATATTTGTAGAAAACGGAAATTAAGTTGATATACCTCATTTTATCGCATTAATTACCTTGCAAAAAATTACAATGTGATTGCACTTATAAGAATGTATTTAAAGGGTATTTCAGTTCAATTTCATCATTATGCTTGTATGTATTGTATACATGAATGAGCATTAGATGTGAACCTGAATTGAAACCCCCCTTTTGCAACGTAAATTCATGCAGAGTATTTGAACTGAGAGTTGATCCAGGTTATTTTCTCGATTTCTAAATCCAGTACTTGCAAATACAGCTAATTGCTAGTCATAAATGGTGAGTTGCAAGGTCTGAGTGTTTGAGACTCGCGGTTAAATTTAATTTAACTCAGATGCTGTAATAAGATACTTGGTACAAGCTCTGTACTAGAGATGAAGTAATCTCACGATACAATTTGAACTGTAAATCTTGAATAAAGATTTGTTTTCCTGCATGAGCAATTGATCATGTACGTTTCAAGATAAGTAGAAATTGAAATTTTGAGATGTAGATCTATATGTATACATATATTGATATATTTTGAACTATTAATGTTGATAAGGAACAAATAATCCAAGTCATTTCTATGAAGCTAAAAAGGGGTAAATTAATTATTAATTTAAAGGAGCCATGTTAATGTGATCGTTTATGAGAGTTAGTTTATCTGACAAAAAGGAGTATTCTGACTTACGTCATGGGCTGAAATAGCGCCATCTACGCTTTCCTAATTCCGACATAGCAGTAGCAACGAATTGGATGTTCGCACCGAAATCTTGTCCTAAATTACACCTGTTATTGATACGAAGCCAACCCGTTTGCAACAATAAGGAGGCAAGAAGGTTCGTTAATTCGATATATTAATGTATAACGAGTATAAATAGTATAAATAATGAGAAATGATGATATGAATGTAATCTAATATGCTTAAGTGATAATGAATGGTGTGTGTAGTATTAGTGTATGCACGGACACGTATGATACCGTATACGGCTGTAGTGGACGTTATATATATGCAAATTAGATGCACGTAAAACAGGTATACGATATATACGATATAGAGTGTAAGCTAGGGTGCTACGTAAGGCAATGTTAATTGTATGCACGTAAATAGGTATACGATATTAACGATACGAATGACGTGTCCGCTATAAGAAGGACGCAGTCATTGATATGCGTTATGCTAATAAGTCTTTGTGATTCAAACTATCTACCACGAATATTGGTCACGTGACTTGAGTGAAGGTATTGTTTATAGATAATTGCATATACACAAATGATAAGAGACAAAGAGAAGAAATTCATTTGTTATTAATCACTGCATTTAATAGGCGAACTGATGATATTATTTATACACATGTATTCGAAAATGCCTGTATGAACAATTACTTATAATCTGTTCTTTTTCTTTATCATGTTTTGTTCATACAGTTTTCACGGAGCAAGTGTGATGGAATTAGTTGACATAGAATAAATTAGCAAGTCAACCCTACTACGACTTTTCATTGACTGTTTCTTCAGACATGTTATCTGTACTTTCAATAACAAAATCATATACAATTGAGACGTTTGTATCAGACAAGGAACTTTACAATGAATGGGGAATATTTGAAACTAGCATAAGTGATCATTATTTGGTGTATACGGTTCGCGATTTTAGTGCAAAGATCCATAACAAATCTGAATACGCAGAATTTCGCTCGTTTAAAAATCTTGACGAGGAGAAATTTTACAGTGAATTGAGAAGTACTCCTTGGCAGGTCATAAAAGATATAGATAATGTTGATGTTGCGTGGGATATGTGGTTGACTCTATTCAATAATATAATCAACAAGCACATACCAGTATGTAAAAAGCGGATAAGAAAAAAGGCATGTCCATGGATATCTGACGAGATTGTTAAGCTTATGACGGAACGTGATAAAGTTCTCAAAGCTGCTAAAGCTAACAAAAGTGATGATCTTTGGGACACCTACAAATATCTAAAGAATACAGTTATTCATCTCATGAGGAAAAGAAAAAGAGAATATAATGCAGACCAGATCTCGCAAAATCATAACAATAGTAAGCAAATGTGGAGATGTTTGAGAAACCTTGTGCCTAAGTCATTACCTATATCTCCCAATAGCATAAATGTTGATGGTGCTAATGTGTCAGACAATGCAAATATTGCTGAAGCTTTTAATGACTTTTTCATTTCTAATGCTACTAAGATTACAAAGGACCTGCGAAGGAATAAGTCTCAACTGAGAGTAGACGAGGACAATAATATTGGTCCAACTCATTCGCAATTTAATTTGAATTTGATTACTGAGGATTTTGTATTGAAACAGATTGATAATCTGAGTATAGATAAAGCAACTGGTGAAGATCACATCAGCTGTAAACTTTTAAAGATGACGAAGAATGTTATCTCAGAGTCTCTTTGTGATATCATTAACAAATCCCTGTCTACAGGAGTTGTTCCACGTGAATGGAAAAAGGCTCGGGTAGTACCAATATTCAAATCTGGAGATATTTCTTCTTTGAATAATTACCGCCCCATTTCAATATTACCTATCGTGAGTAAAATTATAGAAAGGGCCGTCCACCAACAACTCAGTGAATTCTTGGACGTGAATCAATTATTACACCCTAATCAGTCTGATTTTAGACCTAAACATTCAACAGCTACTGCACTTGCAAAACTTGTAAATCAATGGTCGTTGAATATTGATAACAAAGAGATTTCTGGAGTTGCCTTCATAGATCTTCGTAAGGCTTTTGATACTGTTGACCATGAGCTACTTCTACATAAACTAGCTTGTATAGGGTGTAGTAATAGGACTATTTATTGGTTCAAATCATATTTAGGGGATCGACAACAAGTGACCCAATTTAAAGGAGCCAAGTCGCATCCATCAAACATCAAATTAGGTGTGCCACAAGGTTCAATTCTTGGTCCCCTTTTATTTTCAATATATGTTAATAGTCTACTTGAATGTACTCCTGAAGGTATCATAGATATGTATGCTGACAATACGACACTTACCGTCAGTGCAAATGATGCAACTGTTGTGGAAGAAAAATTAACTGTTGCGTTAAACAGAGTCATGGCATGGATTAAGGAAAATCGTCTTGTTCTTAACACTGAAAAAACTTGTGTCATGTTAATAGGCTCTCCTGCTAATCTCAAGAAAATTGAATCTTTCACCATTTCATTAAACGGCAATTTGATCAAAAGAGTTCAATTCACCAAATGCTTAGGACTTTTGATAGATGAAGAATTGAAATGGTCTAAACAAATCGAAAACGTAAGTAAACTTACCCAGAAAAACATTAGCATGATAAAGAGAGCAAAGAGTTTTTTGCCTAAAAAATCCTTAAAGTTACTTTACAACAGTCTAGTGTTGCCACGATTAGATTACTGCTCTGTTGTATGGTCGAACCGATTTCATTCTCATACAACTAAGCTGCAAAAAATTCAAAAGAGGGCCGCAAGAATAATATTGAACAAGACATATGACACACCGTCGGCTGATTTGTTCACAAGTCTTAAATGGATGACACTAGACAAGCGGTTTGAGTTAAGTCGTGTTATGATGATATATAAATGCGTTCATAACTTAGCACCTTCTTACCTTCAGGTAGGCTTAATCAATCCTAATGATGTACATGAGCATCATACAAGGCAAATAGACAGTGGATGTTTACGTGTGCCTAGATTTCACACTGATTGTTATAAGTGTAGCCCAATTGTTTCTTCCATATTTGAATGGAATAAGCTAGATAATTCATTGAGAACGGCTTCCTCTGTCAATTCATTTAAGAGATTGTTTAAACAAAGTTGTAATTTGTGAATGGCTCAGCCGTATATACACTACGTGCATGTTCTGTAATATTTACATGACTTATTCACATAATTGCGACTTAATTAATATTTTCCTATTGACATTACTGTTTACTAGGTTTATGATATATGTTTATTTTGCAAACGAGTATTATTTTTGTAACTGTTCTGTATAAATGTTATAAATGATGTAAATATGTTCATTCAGGGCCCCATGGAAGACCACTACTTGCTGGTGAATGGGCTACCCTGTCAAAAGATCAGAAATAAATAAATAAATAAATAAATAAATACAATGATGACAATATTTGGGGTTATTGCTTTAAAGTAAATGCACAGATCCTTTAAAATGTCAATACATAGAATGAAATAAAGTGATTTAATTTTACCTATTGATGTAAAGATGTCAGGCTGTTGTGATACTGAATTGATTATAACATGTAGTTTTTAAAGCTTCTACCAACCTTAAATTTGTTATGCAAGCTTTCATCCACTCCTGTGGACTTTCTCAAGTTAAGTGATCAGTCTGAGTCACCTACCTTTGGTCCAGTGATCACAGGACACCAGGCAGTACAGCGAAGCAAACGTGTGACTCAGACTGATCACTTAGCTTGAGAAAGTCCATAGGAGTGGATGAAAGCTTGCATAACATATTTAATGTTGGTAGAAGCTTATAAACTACATGTTATCATTATCTTCAACTGATGAAAGTTTTCTGAATTGATTTTGTTTATTGAAAATTCTATTGTGGTGCTCATCTGACTTAGTGATATGAAGTTGGCACGTTTGAAAAATACTCTGTATCATTATTATTACAGTGAAACCTGTCTATAAAGACCACTCAAGAGAGACAGGAAATATGGTCTTTATAAACAGTTTTCTTTATTGCATGTTTCAGTGAAAAACCGTTTCAAGGTAAATAGAAATATGCAGTCTTTCTATACAGGTGGTCACTAAAGCAGGTTTGACTATACTATCATTAATGTAATCTTTTTTTACAAGGCTAAAAGCAGTGGAAACTCAGCAACCTCCAGGGTTACATCGTTCCGATAGTCTGCCTCCCTCTATCAAGTCGACTAGGCAGTCAATCGGCACGGCAACCACAGATGAGAGCAGATACCAAGAGAGGAGAGAGCTGGAGAATCTTATAGATCAACTGGAGAGGGAGAACGAGTATGTAGACAAGTCTTATTTTCATGGGAATTAAGAGCAGTTGTTTTTATGGTGTTTACCATCGTTGTTGGATGATTTTCGCCAAAAATACATATGATGTTAAATTGAATTACATTTTCTGTGATACAGTAAAGAAATTTTCATGACATGGAGATGATTTTTTCACTGTTTGCTGCAAGATTTGTCAATATTCTTACATGTAATCAAGTTAAAGAGCAAAAAAGTGTGTTTGCATATGATTTTTTAGTTTATCTAAATTGTTTTTTTTCTTATGTTTAATCGCAAATATTGACTCACAAATAATGGCTGCACACTCTCAGGGATGCAGGAATGCTCTATTTTTCACTTGCATACACTTTACAATATTTGATCTTTATTTGTTGAGAGAAACTATTGGATATTTTGGCTAATTGCCTATCTTTAGATGGTCACAGCTTGTGTAATTATGAATACTAAAATTGCAAATAAGTAATTATTAGATAAAAAAAGTTTTAAAACATTTCTTTCAAAAATACTTTCCAATGTCAAGTATGTTGAGCATATCTCACTTTTCTTATGTTACTCTATCCACCTTTCCTTCTTACTCTTTCTTACAGCGCATAGAGACATATTGTGATGTGCGCTATATATAAGTACGGTATATTATTATTATCAACTAATGCTGCCACAATCTTGAGGTGTATCAAAGAAAATGCTAAAACTGCTAAATGGCTAAATTTATCTTCTCTCCCTTTTCCCTCTATTATCACTTTTCAAAGTGAGTTGATGGATGACCTAGAGCGATGTGGCCTACATGTTCAGGACTCCAGCTTATCATCTGAGACAGACTCTGAACCGAGGCAGCGTGAACCATCCCAGCATGACAGGACTAAGCTGGTGGAGCAGCGAAATGAAGTCTTTGCTCGCTATGAAGTCCTGGAGGAACATAACAAGAGGTTGGAAGAACAGCTAAGAAACTTCAGAGCCATGATTAGGGTAAGCGGGGATCTACACTAACCTTTTCAGATTGTGTTCAAATTGAACTTTTACGGTCTGTTTTTATGAGCTGTACGTAAAAAAAATAAAAATCAGAATTTGGGGGGTTTGGATTTGGGGCACCCATGTGTTAAGAGCCCCTAATGGTGTCGAGCCCTGAGGTAAGATATGTGGTTGTAATGATGTCATCGTTTAGCTGTTAATATCTTATTTAATGTATACTGCATAGCCGGTTGAACAACATATGCTCCTGCGGCAATTCGCTACAATAATCAAGTTCCTATGTCAACTTTGACCCTAGGCCCTAGATTCTACTTAACCCTGACCCTAATGCTAACTCACCGTGAGGACATAGGCAATTACTAAACACAAAGGCTTTTGTCATCCTACCGGGTCCCCATTTCTCTCTTGGGTATTGAGTGTCAAGTGTCGATTAATGCCTTGCCAAAGGACATTTTGGGGATCTAACTACGACCTTTGAATTTCAAGTCAAGTGCTTAAACCACTCCACTACGACACTGATATTTGAATATGATTTGTAGTCGTGAAACAAAAGTTGTATAAAGGGCCCTTCGATTTTTTGTCCAATCTGAGGAAGTTTGGAATGGATTGGTAAGTGAGTGGATTAAAGTATATATATATATATATATATATACATACACATAACAACAGAGGGCCATTGATTCACACTTGTTTCCTAAGATTACTAGAAAATTTAACCAAAGTCCCACAGGCTGTTTCCAACGTTTGAAATCATCTTTTTTCCTTGGCATTAACAGAAGGAGACGAGCCAAGGAAGGACTGATCCCTCATTTGGATCTGCTAATCCATCTCTCAAGCACAGCCCTTCATTCCCACCAGGCAACACAACATTCCACCAAGGAGGGTCTATGAACCAGGTGTCTAACCGTAGTTCAGGATACCAGGCCAGTAGTGGCTACGACAGGACAGGTGAACGACTGCCCCCCTACGGACAATCACACCCTGCCCTGGACACCATAGCTGACCACTCCTCTGGGTCGTCCGGTGCCTCGGCTGCGAGACCACGTTTTATCATGATGGGGAAGGACTACCCGGATGGGCGTGGTGACCCAGGGCGTGGTCATCCACCCCTCTATACCAATCCGGTGTCTTCATTGGGGATAGGCGGTATGGGTCAACCGGTGCATGTAAATGATTTCGGTCAGGGCAATCGGAGTGGAGGACTCGGTCAGCATCGATCAATGGCTGGTCCTTTATCGAACGTTCAGACTGGTAGCATTCAAAATCTGCCACCGGCTCCATCTTACCACCACAATATGGATCCTTCTGTCTTAGCTTCACCAGTGTATGCTCATGGTCCACAAACTTCTGCATCAACTGCGTATCAGGATATTGGAGATGGCGCACAAAATTATTATGGTCCCCAGACTAACGCATTACCTGTGCATCACGTTAGTGTAGTTGGTGCGCATCGTTTGTTACATCCATCTATGAGTACTATCAACCAGCACAATGAGAGTAGCCAGTCACTCCTGCTAGGAAATCAGACCGGTCAGTTGCATTCTGCGGACATTCCATTCAACAGCCAACCTCCCTCTCACCTTGACCAGTCCCATCATGTAGGGTTCCAAATTGACCAATCACATCCATCTGGGCTTCAAACAGACCAATCACATGCATCTAGATTTCAAACTGACCAATCTCATGCATCTGGGCTTCAAACAGACCAATCACATGCATCTAGATTTCAAATGGACAAGTCACGTGCCTTGGAGAGTGTGCTGGATCTTGACCGTTTCCTGCCTCACATCAACGATCAATCCACAGTTAACTTCCCTACTACAGGTGTATCCATGGCTTACCCATCAGAGGAGGCTGAACTGGATGAGCTGATTCAGAGAATGACCGATGCCTTCCCGCTTCATGAGAGCCCCTCTCCTCCTCCTCTTCCAGGTAGGTATCCAGGGGGGTGTTTTACAAAAATCCTAAGTTGAACTTATCTCTAAGTTGGACTTAAAAATCATGGAAAGCCATTAGCATCTATGAAAATATTTTGTAAAATTTATTTTAAAGGGCATAAAATGTGATTCAAATCATTCATATTTTCTATTATCAAGGAGATTTCATGTTCTTGTTTTTTTTTTGCTTTTGAATATATTTATTTTAAGGCTACAAATGGCTCTCCATAATATTTAAGTCCAACTTAGAGTTAAGTTTGATATTGCATCTATACTTTGCTCTTTACACGAAATGTTTTTTTAGACTTTGGTCTCTGTAATCAGTAGGCCTGGGACAAAAAACAATTTTACTATTCAAATATTTGTGCAAACAGGTATTGGAATAGTTGAAATAGTTTGAATTCCAATTTTCATAGTCAATTGTGACATTAGCACAGGAACATGCCAACCCGATGTCCAGTGCAGTGGCTGTTGGTACGACCATGATTGTTATGCAATTACCCGCAGTAGATGTATACATGTACCAGTATGTTGTTTGCTACACCCATGAATATACCTAACAAATTTATATTTCTGATGCAGAAATCATCAAAAATTCTTTTAGAACGACAGTGATGTGCATTTTCATGATTATGGAAAATGTCAAAGGAAGGCCAGAAAAAATGAAAGTCAAGTTTCTAGCTTAAGGTAGAGTCGTCTAGCGATCTTAACTTGCTCATACTTGGTCCACAATTACAAGACTACTGGATAATGGGCATATTCATGGATACAATCCATGATTAATGTATCCTTTTCAAAAAGAGTATGTATTCTTTTTGAGGTGGGAATAAAAAATATTTATGGTACATTTCCAATAATACATGAAATTATTATACACATTTGAGTGGATATTTTGGGTCTTATGGGGGAGATGTGCTATCTCTAATCTGTTGTGTAGTAGGGTTAAAACTATTTTTCATTGTTTTGTCTTCAACTCAGATGAAGCCGATGTGCCTGTAGTAACAATGGAAGAACTCCTTCAAGCAAGACCAAGGAGATCAAGTATGTACTCTACACAATATGCCTTATCACTTTTCAATTCAACGAGTTGGCTATGTGGGAAAATATGCACTTCTTAAAGCCTGTCTGCACTAGTTTGGCCAGGAGGGATTAGACCTCCCTGCATGGTCACTGACAGGTGGTTATCTCATTAATTAACATTAAAAAAAGGGGATCATGGGGGACCAACAGGTACCGCATAGGTATTGTTTGCTATACAGAGGACGCAAGTAGCTACAAGTAGTGCAGACAGGCTTTAACTTCCCCAAAGTATCATTAAATCCCTGTTTAGAAGTCGACTGTTGTCTCAAAGATTATTACATTTTTTTGTTTACAAATGACATGGATATTCCTAATCCTTAGCCACAATTAATTGAAAATAGGTGAAAAGTATTATTTCAGGAAAACTAGCCCATGGCCAGCTTGAGATATGCAATAGTAAGTACAGGAAAGCTATTTGTCTTTAATAATTGATCTGAACTTTGATCTAAACTTGTACCCTTGTTCAGGAGAATAAGTAATTTTGAAATATTCCTGTCTAGAAGAGAGAAAAAAAAGAAGGAAAACCCAAAACTGTAGTCATGAAAGAGTTGACTAAAAATGAATGATGTAGACCTGAAAAAAAAAGACTTCATTATCAGTATAAAAGTCATTGCACATGAAAATGATGATCATAAATCAATATGACATATTTCATTGAATATTAACGTGTGTTATATTATTTTTGTCAGGAGGAAGCAGACGAGGGAGTGGAGACATTTTTTCAGCTGCTAATCGTATTGGAGAAGCAATGTCAACTCTGGTTACTAGAGTTAGTGTTGGAGGTAAGATGGATTAATATTACAGATGTCCAATGGTGAAAGGTAGACTTATAAATGAAAGAATAAGGATACATGTATAATGGATTCTTCATTGTGAGTAGAATATCATGCCATCGAATGATTGACTCTGTGCGTTTGTCGGGGTAATGGATCTGGGCCCTGTTTCATAAAACTTGTTATCAATATCAAACGCTTAATTTCTATGACAAATTTGCTCTCAGCCAATCAAATGCAGCCATGATGTCAGTAGCTTATAACAGTTATTGTAACTTGTTATTGATAACAAGTTTTATGAAACAGGCCCAGATGAAAATAAGTTTTAAATGTATTTTTAATTTCAAACCAAATTCATTCTTTAAATGAGTTTTAAGTCTGTAAGAGAGCCATTAGAAAAGCAATATAGAAATTATAGTACCGGTATCTGTTTTCTATTTTCATTACACTGTTTTGCAATTCACCAGGGGCAGTAATCTAACATTTTATTTCAGTGAGATAAAATACACTCAAAATCTTCATATATATCTGTATTGTAAAAGTCATTTCAGAAAGATTTTCCCTCAATAAAGACATGATTCATAATTAAATCTTTGTAGGTAGTGTAGACATGTAGTAATATCTTCTAATATTTGCATGAATTTCAATTGTAACTTGTACCGTAACTTTGGGTAAAATGGGTAAAATTACAAAAGCAGTCGTGAAATTTTAAGTTTTAGCATAAATCCTTCTGAAATTCACACTGATACAGCATTACTTATGGAGTTTCATTGAGGATGGTTGGGTGCTTTTTAACATGTCAAATCAAAATCTTGTTGCATATTTGGGGGAAACACCCCATATTATTGCAACTGTTACCACAACTGTATGTTTCCTAAGTTTGTACTTTTTGTCTCTCTCTCTCTCACATTCCAGGAGCACAAGGTCATCATGCCCACTAGTGGATGCTAATAAAGATCCCAGTCTCCTCGTCACATTCCAACCTACAGACTCAGAAGACCACATTGATTTAAAGGGATCCGGTAACTTTGTCTTAGATCCTTTAAAAAAATCCTTGATTAATCTCATGCTGCATAGATAATTATAAACCTTTAGGTCAGTCAGGAACCCCATGACTTTTGCAAGCTGATCTAAATCAAATTTTGCGTTTAAAGGGAGTGGGTCATCAGAATCCATGTGCAGAAAGCCATAATTCGCTGATCCTAGACTTAATGGAAATACCGTTAGTGGATGTACAAGTCTGCCCACAGCAAACCCGTAGGCCTATCAAGAAATACCCCCTATAGTCTCTCGGAAAGTCTTCGGAAGAGGGTTTTTAAGATGAATGACTAAACCATATGGGGTGGGTGGGGGGGGGGGGGTTGGATAGAATATGCAAAAGCATTACATAAGGACTTTTGGTCATAATCCTGGTGATTGACAACACCTGTTATTGGGTAAACATCCGAACAGTGTCTAATTCCCCATGAGAGCCCACTCCTATGTGTCTTTCAGCGTGTCCACACACAAAACAATTTATCCCGAAACTCTATAACGAAACGTCGTATAAAGAATCATCATATAAATTTCAGAGTGTCCACACACAAGAAACGTCGTATAAATAATCATCGTATAAATTCCAGGATGTCCACACACAGAAGAAAGTAATCCTGAAACTCTACAGCGAAATGTCGTATAGTCGTATATGCCTAATCACGGAAAATGTTGTGTGTGGACAGGGGGTTTGATTGTGCATCTGTTTTAGCGTTTTTCAAGCTTCATTAATCATCTTAAAAACCTGAACTTAAGTGAAGGAAATGTAAAATGGAATCAATGTTAATCACCTTGAATGTTTGGAAGGTATATCATTATGTTTTTTCTTTGTGAATGCAAAATATTACAGTAATTGTGAATGAATAATAGTAATGACAATTCATTCCATGGGATATATTTGGTGCTGAACAATGACTCGGTGATTTAGAACTAAACATAAGATTGATAATTTCTGCAATAGTTTGGTCAGGAGGAATTAGACCTCCCTGTATGGTCACTGCCAGGTGGTTATCTCATCAAATCAGCTCTCAATTAACATAAGAAAAAGGGGACCATATATGGGAATCACGGGGTACTGCTTAGGCATTGTTGGCTATATAGAGGGCTCAAGTAGCTACAAGTAGTGCAGCCTCTCTACAACACCATTTTTATTTTTACAAAATGATTGTAGAAAATTCTGTCAAAAATATGTGGCAACAATTGTTTTGAATTTCTTTAAAATTACCATCCAATTAGGATGATAGCTATATTTTAGTTTTTGTAATTTGTATTGTGATTCTAAGGTGGTATTCTATGTTCCCTGTTGCACATTAATACATTGATACTGCAATGTTTTGCAGGACTGCTTATCCCGATACCGAAATATGCTGGTCATTGAATATGTAATTTGAAGAGAAATAATTGAACCATTGCTTTGTGTACATTTATACTTCTTCAAACAATATCAGGGTCGTGATTGTCATTATGAATTTAAAGAAATTGTATTGTAGAAATAAGTAAAATTCAGGTGTTTTAAAACTTTTTGCCAAGTACTGTCGTAAACCTTGAAGATTTTTTTCTTTTACTGACAACTTTTGTTTGCCTTTTCAACAATCAGTTTACTTTTCAAGATGACTTTAATTATGTTTCTTGAAAAATAAATGAAAGGAGAGCTCTTATATCTGTGTAGCCATGTAGTCATTCTGTTATATTTTGTGATGTTTATATGGTAAGCATACTATAACTTTATAAGATAAATGTGATATCTAGTCAATATATTTACATGATCAATGGTTGGCCATCATGGCCCATATTGTACCAATTCACTTAAACCAGACCCTGTGTCTACAACCACATGTAAAAGAAGCAACATTTAGATCTTGGTCTAATTTCCTTTGTTATACCTGATTTTGAACAAAGCATAAGCTTATCATCAGGTTGAAATTTGAGTAGAATATGGGCCAAAGTTTTTTTTTTATTTTTTAAATCTACATTTGCCACACTCCACCCAGGTCGGGTAAATGGGATTGTTGACCATTCAAAATCAATTTCGGAGGCTAATTCCTCATTTCACAGAATAACTTAAACCAATAATTATTACAACTGTAAATGAAGTTTACAATGAATTGGGTTTGACGATTTTATCATTAAATTCACTCGTACGCATGCTGTTCACAAATGCCATTCTAAATCGATTCATTCACACCAATTAAAACAAATGACAACTTGATCCATATCAATTGGCTGCAAATTACATAATTTATTACACTTCAATTTGAATTGTAACCAATGCAATTTTACACAATCGCTTATCAAATCACAACATTGTGAATTAAAATGTTTAAATTACACCAATCATGGAAAGTAAAGAAAAAAATATAAAAGTACACAATTAGCAAGAAAAAAACTATCATGAAATTTCATTAGGGCATACCCTGTAAAAGAAAAAGAAAGAAAGGTATTCCTAATGCAAAAAGGCTACAAAACTCATATAAAGACATAACATGTAATCTGGATGTCATTCGATTGTAATAAACGAAATTTCATACATTACCATTTTTGCCACATCAACAGTAAACATTTTAATCACCATTTGTCATTTACTATCATTAATGCAGAGATGCCAACTTTTGGAAAACAGAAATAGGGAGGATTTGTAACCAACACCGAATAATGTGCGCGTAGCCCTGGGCCCTGGAAGCTCTGGGGTTCTAGATGCTCTCTGGTGCAATCTGAGCCTTATTTTGCAGCATTTTACATGTGTATTTAGTTAAATAATTCCCACTTTTTTTTTAAATAACATACAAATTGTACAAAATGCATGATGAATTCTGTTCAGACTTCCGAATACACGGGATACTGTATTCGGTCATTCTTCTGAGACCATTTTTTGGTGTTCTTTTGCTGATTTTCCGCCAATTGGATGCTGTGTCAATATCCACGCATTGGTTATGGCGATCCATATGCTGAAACAATCTTTTGCTACTCTTAATTTGTCTTTTAACATAGTGGAATTACTACATGCTAAAGTTAGCAGACGATATTTCTCATTCAATTCACAGATATATATACTGATAAGCGCCAAAAAAAAAAAAATCATGATTTAAAAAAAAAAAAAAAAAAAAAAAAAAAAAAAAAAAAAATCCATTTTTTTTTTTTTTTAAATAAATCGGGAGGATAAGGATGGTGATCGTAAGGTCGGGAGTTGGGGTGAATTATCGGGAGCCTCCCGATGAAATCGGGAGGGTTGGCATCTCTGTTAATGTCAAATTCATCTCCTGCAGTTTCACATGTGTTAGCATGAATGCTCAAATTGAAACACAAGGCACTTTCTAGTCACATTTGAAAATCAAATTGTGGAAGTTAAGATGTGATATACTAAAAAGCAGTATCCAAGTTCATGCACTGATTGCAGTTTCCAACACCTGAAATGCTCTGTGATTAGTGCATTATATGTATGACCAACAAAAACAACAGGTAAATAATGATCCTTGTATTTCATAGAAACAATTCACACTTTCTTTTTCATGCATTTTAACTTTATAGAAAGTGATTTTTCATTACTAGATTTCTGATCAATTTTGCAGATAAATTTGAACACCATCCCTCCGAATACAAACCTCCACCAAATCTGTCAAATCTTGATGCTAACATAACATGAAATTAAACGATATAATTAGAATTGATTTTCAATTTAATGAAGCAAGATCCAGAAACTTGTTTCTTATTTGAGTCTATCTGGTCTGTCTGGGGTGACTACAATTCAAGTGCTGATTTTTTATTTTTTTCACAACACCATGGTTTAACGGTGACCAGTGAGAGATGCAAAACAAGAATAAGATGCAACCTATAACTGCAATCGTATTAGAACGATATGCATGCATTGATGCTGATACGTTTTACATCGCAGGTGAAGGCGCATCTCCTGGGTAATCTAGAGCAATTTGGTAGAAGAGTGTAGCATGTAGGAGGCATTGACAGAGGGCGCCAAGGAAATTAATAATAATATTTGGCTTTTATATAGCACTTAATACAAATGTCTCTAAGAGCTTTACAAATATACTATTACCCCAGTCATTGGATTCAGTGCTTGCCCGCACACAATGTGTGCACAATCTTCACTCCCTGGGGAGCATTCCAGCCAGGCGTTACTTGACGCTCAAAAACTTTTTGATCAACAATGACGGTCGCATCCTACCGGGTACCCATTAAACACTGAAACACAACACAAACAAGATATCCAGCATACCGTTAAATGTTAGTGTAATGGTATAACCTTTGGGTCATCATCTATATGGTTGAGTGGTAAAATCAAGTAAGCAAAATGTATCACATATATATATATACACACACATTCGACCATGCTACTGGACATGCATAGATAATTATTATCACTATGTAAATGATGCACAATTAAATTTGCATATTCTTCGGGGTAATGAGCAGTCAAAATAATCATTGCATTTATAAAATTCAAAACATCAAAATCATGGCAATCTACCATTTAGGAATACAAAAGATCAATAACTTATTTCCCAGACAAATTCACATTTCAACATATCCAACATGATGAATTATACAAAAAAAAGGAAAATGTTCAGAATTTTAATACAGATAATACTATTTTCACTTCTTCCCACTTGATGCTTTTTAACAACAAATTATTCAAAACTTTTATTGGATGATTCAAACTTGCTTCCATATTACACATTTCTTAATGAAGAATACAATATGTGACATGCAATTTCATAATTTCATATGTTGAATGGAATGCATAAAATGTTTCCCGCTTCCCATTTTGATCATGATAGCTCCCATACTTTCTTAAAATCGATGTATTCATGAAGACAATCTACATTAGTGTTTTGTTACTTTATTTCTAACAACCATTCATTTCATCAATTCCATATACGATTTTCACAAGCAATACAAATCATTAACAAAAGGTGCTACAATGTTTTTGTTCATCATTTTTAGCTACAATTTAATTGAGATTATGGGATTACAGTCACACTTTGTTAAAATGTCAGGAAAAACTCTGGGCATCCCATTTGGCTCTTCATATTCAAA